AATAGATTTAGTGTTTCTGGTTTAATATTGAGATCTGTGAACCATTTTGACTTGAGTTTGGTGCATGGTGATAGGCTTGGGTCTATTTTCAGTTAGGATGAGTCCTATTATGCTAGGGTCCAGTAGTTGCCAGGTGAATAAAAATAGGATCTGCCAGGCTTCAGCCTCACTGGCTTCTGGTCTCTCCTCATCATTTTCTCACTGAGTGCTAACACAGGTCCATGCAGGAGAAACCAATCATTGTTCCTGCGTAACATGTGAGAACACTGATTTTGGAGAAAGTAAGGAGACAGCAAATGGTTGATGGTTTTCTGGCCTTCTGTAGAGCGACAGCAACAGGCTGCTTTGTACACAGGCCACCGCGGCTGAGAGAATTGCCCAGGGGGTGCAGTGTGCAGTAACACAGCGGGGGGGGGGGGCTCAGGTGCTAGGCCAGTCCCTCTTGCTGAGCCAAGCCACCAAAGCTCTGGATGGTCACGTTCAGGGCCCTATCTCCTTAATGAAGTTCCAAGAGCAAATCACCAACAATGTGTTCCACAAGCTGCCTCAGTTTCTCATCTGTAAACCAGGACAGGTTGCCCACTCTTCTCCAGTGCTGCTGTTTCTAGGGACCTGTGCTTGCCCTGTACTTCGGATATGTGTGCAGGACAAACTGAGACCCTGCAAGTGGGGGTTGTGAAGGGCTCCTGGGTTCCTTCCGGGCATCCGCTTCTGCTCTGACTCCCCTTTGCTGCAGGGAGATTCTTGGAAAAGTTCTTGGAAAAAGATCCTCTCAGCAGCTTGATTGAGTCACCTGCTTCCTAGAAGCCATCGTCCAGCTTTGTGTGTCCCCGTCTACCCTCCCTGCATGTCCAGGTGCCCAGGTGGCCCAGACTTGCAAGCTCGGGTGCCCCAAAGTCAGTATAAGGATGAAACGCAGTGAAGTGGGCACAAGATGGCAGCTCTTGACTGGAAAGATGGAACGGAAGGTTGGACTGGGTGGAGGTGCGAGCCAGGTTTCTGCCTGGCGTTCGAAGTCATGAGGTCTCAGCGAGGCCTCAGCTCTGCCTCGACCCTGCCCCGTTTCCAGTCAAGTTCTTTCCTGCAAACCTAGACGCGGCCCCCACTGCTGTGGAACTCTGGTTACTTCCCGCATAGTTCCCCAGCCCTGTCCCCTTCTGGGCATCTGAGTGGGGAAAACCCTGGTTTCCCCACTTGAAACCAAGGCGGTGGTGGCTTGGGGCCAGGATGAGAAAAAAGAGCTCCAGAGAGTCTGGAAGACGGGTGGGGAAGGCTGGGTCCTCTATGCTGTCCATCCTGCCTTGAGAGCAGCTCCAAGTGAGGGAAATCAAACATGCCATTTCCAAGTCCTCCTATGGCTTCGGGAGACTCCTGTTCACAACTACCCTGAAGCCCCAGCCCCCCTTTTGCCTACTTCTTCAACACTTCTTCTAAGTCAGTAGAGACCCCACTACCATCGCCAGGTCCTGAGCTGCCTTCCCTGGACTCCAGCGCGTCTCTTAGGACTCTCAGTGGCTACACCTGTGCACGCGTAGGACTCAGCTCAATTGAGACAGGGACAGTCATGTTAGGCAGAGCCCCATAACCAGGCAGGGGCAGGAGAGAGCTATGAGTTTCCCCCAGGTCTGGCTCTTCTCAGGTACTTCCAGGACTGTGTGCCCTGGTCTCCATAGGGAAAGGGCTTGCTGCCCCCTTCCTGTGGCTGCTGCAGTGCACATGGAGGTCTTGAGCCAGGCAGCACGCTTCCTGTCATTGGTCATCAGAGAAGCCAGCAGGATAAGGTGGCCCAGCTGCCACCACTCCCTGTCCCAAGTACTTATAGGAAAAGGAGACCTGCACAAAGTCGCTTCACCAGCAAGCTCACTCCTGAATGGCACTCAGAGGTGCGATCCTGGCCAGTGATCCAGCTGAAAACCAGGCTCCGGCCCAAGCAGCTCATTTACTGAGACTCCTATAGCTGCAGTGGCCAGGATCACACCTGTCCTGTCCTGCTGCCTGCGGGTGGGGGCAGAGATGGGTGCTGTCACTGCTTGGGAATCTCCCCGTCCTCCAGCCATCATGTAGGTGGCTGAAGCAGCGTCCTGGCCTCCCATTGGGTGGCTGAGACAGTTGGCCACCCTCAGACCCAGGTAGTGACAGGAAGGTGGAGGTGAGGTGGGGCACTCAGCCTGCTACAGGGGCCACTCCTGGATTGCACAGGAGAAGCACCACCTTTTTTTGCCCTGACCAGGTGGGAGTGGCCATTGGGACTACAGAGTTTGTGTTCAAAGAATGTCAGAGAAAGGTGCCTCATCCAGGTGAGCTCACTGTTCTGACCTCAAATTAAAGACCCAGCAGAGACAGGAGTTTGTTGATGCTACACTGCACCCCTGATGGAGGAGGAGGGACCTTCAGGCCAAGGATATGAAAAAGGCAGGTCCAGGAGATGGAAAAGGCAGGAAAATAGGTCTCAGTTGAGTGGCACCGATTCTAATTTTGTCCTCCAGAACTGGAAGAGAATACATGGGTGCTGTTTTAAGATGGTGGCTTGTGGCAACCTGTTACAGTGGCCATAGGAAACTTGTACCTCCAGCGACACAGCAAGGAACACAAATGTGCTGAGCGTTTGATCCTGAAAGGCCTAGTGGGAGCGAGGAACTATGGGAAGTTGCCCTGGTTGGGCCAAGGTAAGAAACTGGATAGGTTGCCCAGAGTGGTTTCCAAGTGCCAAGTGTACACGATAAAGCTGTGACCCCTGAGACAGCTAGTGGGGCTTTGGCCAGCACCTTCTTGGTGCCACTCTCAGCTTAGAACCCCTCTGGGTCAAGTACTGTCTCCATCCCAAAGAACAGCCCAGGTGGCACCAAGCTGGTCTCATCCTGGAATGTGGCCTATACTTCTGACACCATCTGGTGCACCTGGGTCAGAGGCCTGTCCTGCTGCCTGGGGGTGGGGGCAGAGATGGGTGCTGTCATTGCATGGGAATCTTCCTGTCCCCCAGCCAAGGTGATGGTGGCATTTAGTGTACTTGTCCGTGGGGTGGGGATGCATTCATTCACAACAACACCCATTGTGGCTGCTGCTTTTACAAAGACAGCAGAGGCAGGAGGGATTGCCTTGTGTCCTGTATGCCTGTACAGGCTGCCCCTGGGACCAGGGCTACAGAACTTACTGCTGCTCACCCTCTGCCTGGAACAGGCCTCCACCTTGGCCCCACCTACCTTGCAGCCTGCTGTCTTGGTCACCATTACACAGTGTCTGTAAAGTCCTGGTGAGCTGGGGAGAGGTTGCCTCTTACAGCCCCTTTGGGCTTTTCTGATGCTGCTGCAGTTGTGGGAGCAGCTGCAGATGACCAAGTTCAGGCATGAAGTTTGGTCTGATTAGTGCTTTTGTTGAACAGGGAACCCCTCTTAAACTGCTCTGGAGGTGGAGCCAAGCTGGGACTGGGAGTGTCCAGTCAAAGTGGGAGTTCAGGGAAGCAGGTGGCCATGATGGTGGCAGGGAGCCTGGTGTCCTTTGCCTTGTGTCTCCTCTCTGTACCCTAACCTAAGGCTGGGTTCTTGGGACAGCAGGCTCCACACATGGTGCTGATATAAGCCCTCCCTTTGCCCTTCCCTCTCCTCACGGCCCAGGGGACAAGGAGCACAATCTTGGAGTCCTGCGCACATGTGTTTATTTAGCAGACAAGGAGAACTCCACCGGTGGGGTGGTTTCTGGTTGACGGGTGGGTAGCATTTTGTTGTAGGAAGGATCTTCCAGTTCTCTCACTAGCATAGTGGCTGGTGCAGCAGCCAGATGCCACCTTGGGCGAAAAAGACAGGAAGAAAAGGGAATGGACAGACAGGAGGCACCTGAGTGGGGACAGTAGAATAAAGATGGCTGTGGTTCAGGGCGGGAGAAGGGGAAGAAAGCAGGCAGCCCCAAGACCCTCAGCTCTCCACAGCCTGGCCTCCCATCAGCCCCTTGCCCATCCATACTCACTGCTGGTTCACTCAATCAATGCACTGGTCTGTGGGGGAGAAAGAACATGAGAGCAGGTGTGTGTGTGTGTGTGTGTGTGTGTGTGTGTGTGTGTGTGTGTGTTTCTGTGATCTCTTGTGACCAGGGCCCCTGTGTTGGCCACAGCTGCCCCAGACCAAGCCTGGCCAAACTGCAGAGGGCCTGAGGGTTCCTTAAACTCAAGGCCTAGGGATGTGCAACCCTGAGGGCCTGGACAGCACTGCTCTTTGAGCACCACAGCCTGTCTACCTGCTGAGGCCTGGTAGCTCCTCAGCTAGTGGCCCTGAGTGGCCTGGTTGGAGACCTCTGCCCAAGCTGTGTGAAAGTATTTCCTATGTCAGGAATGAGGAAGGTGCAGGGACGTGAGAGTTGGCCCAGCACAGCCAGAACCAAGGTATGGACAGGAGGTTGTTTCAGCAGTGAGACAGGAAACTCTGGCCTGGGCCTAAAAATGTCACCTGGGCCGGCCATGCCAAAGTTGTCAGGGGGAATAAACAGAACACAGGCCTTAATGGCCCACAGATTCCAGGCTGGGAGCCATGACCTCTCCAGTAAGTGGGCCAGGGGACTGAGTGTCCCCCTTTTCAGTTGGGGCAGCACTAACCCTGAGCAGACCCCATGTCTCCTAACCCTCTGTCCAGCAGGCCATTACCAGTAGGGTCTGTGAAGATGATGTTATCTTCAGTGAAGCCCAGAGACTTGGCAAAGTTGACAAAGCGCTCCTTCAGTTCAGGACTCAGCTCTTTGGTTCTCCCTGTGGCCAAGAGAGCCAGTGAGTGGCTGACAGAGACAACTCCACAAGTTTTAAAAAGTTGTTTGAGGTAGGGTCTTGTTATATATGGTTCAGGCTGGCCTAAGCTAGCAGTCCTCCCGACTCAGCCTTCTGAGTGCTGAGATGACAAACATAGGCCACCACCCCAGGCTCATGCCTTATAAACACTGCTGACTGACTGAATAAGACCTCAGACTGTTTTGTCATGGAGGGTGTGCAGAAAGACCACCTTCCTAAGACATAAATCTGAGAAGGGCTTTGGGGTCTTTGGGGATAGTGGCCCCCTCCCCGATTTGTTACCAGGAGTTGGGTCCCTGAGGGCATGGAGTACAGACCTACCATAGAGTGTGGTCTCAAAGGATACATTGTTCTTGAAAATCATCTTGAAGAACACCAAGGCAGATGTATTATAGTCTGTGGCTGCCACTCTCATGGTGTAACTCTGGAGTCCACGGTAACCTGTAGTGTGGATGGCAAGGGGTCATCTCTGCTCTGACCAGGAGGAATAGATTGTCCCCTTCCTCCCTAGCTGGTCAACATAGGCTTCTTGTTATAGGACAGCATGTGTGTGGAGAAGCAGGGAGGTCTGTACCCTTTGGGAGTTTGTGTCCCCCAGATCCCAACCTCAGAACTCCTTTCACTCAGGACTCACGTTTTATATTGGCTACAGTGTACTGGCCGGGCCGATCGTGGTCACGTAGGACAAATGTTCTGATCCGGTGTTCACAGACCGTGGAACTATGGCAGGGGAAGTTGTTGGGGTAAGCAGGGACGTGACACAGGGGTAAATTGGGGTCAGGACTGCAACAAAATTTTGAGGCCCCAGTGCAACCCGGCTCATGAGTTCCTGTCCCCTCTACTGAAGAGGCCTGCATGGTTCTCTCCATGACCCTGGTCCTTCCCCTCTGAGCTTCTGCCTGTTCTGCTGTGTGGGCCACTCAATCCACGCCAAAACTCACTGTCTGCATTGCTGCCTCCCTGGGGTAGCCCGTCCCACACAGACCGCAGGCACTGACGCTGCCTTTATCTTGCTGACCCTTTCCCTCTCTCCTGGCTGTTTCCTCTAAGCCTCCAGTGTGCTCCATGCCAAGCTTTGCCCAGCCCTTGGGCCACACCTGACCTTGCCCTTAAGCCTTGTCACCCTTCACCCCACAGCCAAGACCCCCGAATCTACCTTCCTTGTGCCCCTCAATCCTCAGATGCTCCAGTTGCAGTCTACCCAGTGGCCAGAGGCAGAACTCAGTGCAGGAGGTTGAGCCGGGCTTGTCCCTCTGAGTCATCTGCCCCACCTGTGTCACCTCCTGCCTGGGACTGCCTGGCCTTACCTTGCGGGTTCTTTCCACTGCCCCTGCAGCAGCTGTGGCCACATCCTGGCCCTCTAGGAGCCCCAGGCACAGCCCTGGTTTGGGGTGAGATGCCCCAGAGTCTGGGCTGGGAGCGCTCTCTTTCCTGCTGCTCATCATCCCCTGCTCCAGTCACCATGCTGATTCCTGGCTGCTTTGTTGCCTCCTAATATGAGGCTTTTGAATCAAAGCCCAGCAGCCCCTGATGTCGCCTGTGTCTCGTTTTTTATGGTGGTTCCAATGATGGTGCTGGGGATTGAAGTCAGGGCCACAGCACTGAACTATGTCCACGGCCCATTTTTAATTTTTTGTCTTGAGACAGTGTCTCCCTAAATTGCCCAGGGTGGGTCAAAACTTGTGATGCTCCTGCCTTTGTCTCTGGAGCTGAGGCTCTTAGTGTTAGGAGGCAGGCTGTCTCCTTTAAGGTCACTTTGCTACAAACCATAGATAGAAGCTTTGAGTTTGGTCCCTTGCTGGTTATAGTGCCCCTGCCCTCTGGGACACCTTACTCTGTTTTTGTTTTCTACTGACTGTGTTTGTTTGTGCTGCAGTTGGCCATGGGATGTTGGTGGAAGGGAAGGCGAGAGAGAAGAAGGGAGATTGATATTTGCAGAGTGGTTGGATGAATAGCAATATCCCTTGGTTTGTTCACCCCTTGGCTGTGACATCAGTCTGCCTGTCATACCCACAGGTGACAGTGGCTTTACCTGAGCCAGGTGGAGGTGACATTGTAGCTGTGGTCATCTTTCAGCTCATAGGTGGTGCTGTGCAAGGTTGGTTGGCTTTGGCTTTCATTCCAAACACTATTCTCTGCCCAACCTAGGGTATACCACTTCCCCTGGAACTGGAAGGGGCTGATGATAGGCATAGCCCAAGGATGGGCCAGAGCTACCCCTCCAATGCTGTCCTTGTGGTTACCTCTGCCCAGCAGGGCCAGTGGGTGGGGCTACCTTGAGAGGCTGGCAGGGGCTGAGGTCCTCCAGGACCAGGAGGCACCCTGGGTGAGGAGTCAGCCCTGGGCTGTCGAGGATGGGTGGTCCTGAGTAAGTGGCTGGTGTGCCTTCTGGAGGCCAGTTCTCTCTTCTGTATGCAGGGGCCGAAGATGTGCCCACTTGGTGCGCTCTGGACCTGGTCTTCCTGTGTCCTTTTTCTCCCACTCAATGCTGCCTCTCAGTCCCTTTCCTTCTCCCCACCGTCTGCTCCTGCTGCCCCTGTCCCCTGGGCCCTCCCTGAAGCTGCTCTTCCAGAGCTCTTACCTGGTCATCCTTGAAGCGTTTCTGTAGGGGGACCTTGCTCAATGGTGGGCCCACGTTTATGCCCAGAGGAAAGTCCTGGCCTTGGGTTTGTAGCATCATCAGCAGGGTGAGGCCCAGCCACAGAACACCCGGGGCCATGGCTTCAGGGCAGCTGCTGGGCTGGCAGATGTAGGGAGAGAAGAAGAAAAAGACTGAGATGGCCACCAAGGGGAACTATTTATGAGTCACCTGACTCCCCACCCCTAGGTGGGCTGATCCATCCTTTGTTCAATCCAGGAAGGGTGAGACAATATTGGCAGCTTCCTCAGAAACATGTGGCAAGATATCTCCTTCTTTACTCCCTGGTCAGGAATGTGGAAGAGAGAGAAGAGGGAGAGGGAGAGGGAGAGGGAGAGGGAAAAGGAGAGGGAGG